GTTAACATGAGGTTGTAGTGAAGGACAGATGTAATCATTATATAATTTAGCTTTCGTGTTATACCCACAACTTAAAAAAGAGGAATTTTTTGGCTCATTGTTTTCAGAAGATTCTGTCAATGGTTGGTTGTTTCCAAGGTAGAATGGAGTGGTGGAAGAGCACACAGAAGAACAGTACTAACCCCTGGCAGCCAGGAAACAGAGAAAAAGACCCATGTCCATCTCATTACACAAAATGCATTCAGTCCATCTCTCAGAGTTGCCATCTCAATATGTCCAGCATTGCTAAAAGACTAAATCTAAAGTATCCTCTGAAACCCAAGGAAAGCTCTTAGCTCTAGACCCCCAGTAAAACTCAGAAAGAAAATCATGTACTCCCAACATAGAGTGGCACAGGATAAAGATTTCCTTTACAAATAAATAAATAAATAAATAAATAAATAAATAAATAAATAAACAAATAAATAAATGGAACAAGGGAATAGAAATAAATGAGGCTAAAGCAAGATTTAAACAACAGTGCAAACATTAAATCCTAAAGCTTCATATCCAGCACCTGGGGAAAGTTGTGAGACATGTGAACTTCAAATAATGTGGGTGGCCCGACCTCTATGGTTTTCCTGGTTGTAACCCAAATGGCTATTTTCTTAGGCTGGCTTCTCTTGCTGCCTTTGGTTTCCCTCAGTAGAAGGTCCACATTCCTGGCATCTCCAACTTCCAGGGATCTCCACTGCACTTTGACTTTACTCTCACACCTCTCTTCTTCTCCATTTCAAGGACATTTCACCTAGCCTCGCAGATTTTCTTTTGAAATTTGAGTGGAAGCCTCCATGACCCACAACTCTTACATTCTGTATATCCTTAAAACTAGCATCACATGGATGATGCCAAAGTCTTCCACAAGCTCAAGCAATAGCCAGGCCCCATTAAATCATGATTGCAGAGGTCTCTGAGTACTTGGATATCTGAGCACTGTGAAATGAATCTCAGGGAACCAATTTCCTTAGGAAACTCTTCTGGAGCAGGAGGTCAAAGTTCTCTCTTTTCAAATGAAAGTTCATAGTTATATACAACTGAGCGAAGTTTAGTGTCTTACTGAGTCCTGAGATGCCTTCATGCCATCTTTCTCATTGTTCTGGTGCAAAATACTTGCCTTCTTTTAATACTAATATTTTCTGCAACCCTGAACTCCAAAGCCTCAATTTTGCAAGTTCTTCCTTTCTCTTGAAATTGCAAACATTTCACATCTGCTTTTTGGTCCTGATTTTCACCTGTTTATCTAGCTGAAAGGAACCAGTAGGACTCATGGTACAGCCTGAATGTTGGGCTGCTTTGAAATTTCCACTGCCAGATTAATTAGTCCACTTTTCTTTTCTTTTCTTTTCTTTCTTTCTTTCTTTTTTTTTTTTTTTTTTGATACCAGGGATCGAACTCGGGTCCTTGTACTTGCACAGCCGGCAGCAAAACCACTGAGCTAAATCCCTGGCCCTAGTACACTTTTCTTAATATAAGTCTCCAGCAAAATCTCAGGACACTGGAAAAATAAAGTCAAATTTTCTTACAGAGTATAACACACATGACCTCTAGTCCAACTGCCAGAGGAGTTCTTGTTCCTACCTGAACCTGTTGAGATTCGCCTTTACTGTCCACATTCCTATCAGCATTCTGGTCTTCTGAGCTCTGACCAGAATGCCCCATCAATATCTGGTTCTTCTGTTCATAGATTCTAATGTCATCTCTAAACCTTTATAATCTGCTCTTACACTTCTGAACCACATGGTCATGTATAGTCATAGCGACAGCCTCACATTCAGTACCAATTTTTTTTAGTAGTCACTTTCCTGGTTTTGGGACAAAATACTTGACATCCACAATTTAAAGAGGGAGACATTTATTGGAATCACTGTTTTCAGAAAATTCTGTCCATGTTCGTTGTTTCCAAGGCAGAAAGACATGGTGCAAGAGCCTGTCAGAGGAATACTACTCACTACATGGCAGTCAGGAAGCAGAGAAGGAGATGAGAAGCCAGGGATAAGAATATATCTTTCCAAGGGCCGGGGATTTAGCTCAGTGTTTTCACCACCTGCTGCACAAGGAGCCGAGTTTGATCCCCGGTCCCCCCCCAAAAAAAAAATATATATATCTTTCCAGGCCACGTATCTCCAGAGACCCAATTCCAATCAGGTGCAAATAGCAAGTCATTTATGGGCCCCCAAGTTCTAATCACCTTCCAAGAACCTGACACATCTGAGTCATTGTTTTACATCTAATAAGAATGGTAGACTCAATCTTCAAATTTACACCGATCCCGGCTGTGGTTTGTGGGTGGGAAGAAACAGAGCTGAAGGAAGCATGCCATTCTCAGGATTCAGCTGGGGGTGAGTGTCCTGTATCAAGAGCTTGGCTGTAAGTGTAGAAGAAGGAATATAGCTCCAATTGGTTCTGGAGGAGCAACTTCACAAACCTGGGTCGGGGAGCAGAGCTATTAAGTGGGGAGGAAGAAGGAAGATTGCAGTTGTGTTTGTATGGAGAATTTAAGTTTTGCAAAAAATGTATACCTCATGTTACACTCTACAGATAGTATATAACATCATCAGAGAATGCAGAGAACAAGCAACTATTCTGGTTCAGTGTGTGTGTGTGTGTGTGTGTGTTGGTGGAAATCTTAACATTTTCTTTAGTCTACATATTCCTCTCAATGAAGAAAAAGAAATCTGACAGTTAGGTTTTCTACTTTGTAAAGAATAGAACACAGTCAGAAGAAGACTGAGGTTTAGTGCATTGTGCAATGTAGTTGCACAAGGTCTCTCAGCATCATTGTGTTTTGTCAGCAACTGGAAGTGACATGATCCCCTTGTTCAGGGGAATTCTTACCAGGCTTTGACTGTCTCACACTTCAAGGAATACAATACTGCTATAGAAACCACCTCGGTCACCTTCTTTGTTTATAAATTTGTTAACTAAATCACATGCAAGAAACTGTGCAATAGATCTTATATTCTCCATCTCAACTGAAAGAAATGACACTAACAAGATGTATGAAGAGTTATCCAAACCCACAATGGGCAGTGACTACAAAAATAAGGAAAGACAACATTTTACTACATCAATCCTCCCCTGTTTAGTCTACACAATCTTGGGAGAGAAATAATGAACCTTCTTGTATGATCTGCTGTGTGTGTAATTGATTTATCTTGTGGTTACAAGGAGATTTATTCACCAAAATTGACACAGACCGATGAATGAAATTTGGGTTTGGCCTCTTGGCCTGCTTGGGTATCACTTATCAGATTTGAAAATACAATGCAGTTTCATCACAGGAGGATAGGAAACTAGATTTATTTCTTAGGAATGTTCTGTCTCGGTGTTTGGATGCAGATAGTGAATTTCATGTGCATATTTACTGGTATAGTATCCTGGTGTGATTTAGAGAAGGCAGATGCCATTCCCTCATGCATATTTCCAGCCCTCTACATACCTAGTTATTACCTTGCCTCTCATCTACTGTATTAACTGTTCATCCTGTAACTTATAACTTTACTTCCTTTTCAACATCTGTATTCCTTGTCTGAAATAACACATTTGTAATCCCTATCTGATCCATCTTGATAGGAACATAATATGATTTAATTATTTGGTAGAGCAACATGTGGTACATTTGTCACGTAAGGAGTGAGAAATGAGCGGCTCTCACACAGGAGACGCTAAGGTACAGAAAACAAATGACAAATCAGCTCTGGCCTCTGTGTTTTCCATTCACCCTCTTTTCCTCTTAAAGTACACCCTCTTTAAGTACATGTGGTAGACTTCAGAGACTTGCATATGTTACCCTCTGAGTCAGGGTGGGTCCTTGACTTAGGTTCAAGGATTTGAAATGAATGCCTATTGTTTAAGGACAGGCTGGACCTCTGCTTCCTGTAGGATCTTCTCCTATTTCTAGCACTAAACAGATACCTGCTAATGGGATTTAACTTTATTCCCTGACTTGCTGTTCCTTTGTACATGTACTTTCTTATACCAGACAGGTCACTGGGCAGAATCCTGGATCTTCGATGGCAGCAAAATATTTACCAACTTTGCATCTACCCAGGTCTTTGGAGATTTCTAAGGAGCATATCAAATCTCTCTTAAACCCTCAAGATGAACTCTCAGTGTATGTTAAGTTACAGTCAGTGAAAAGTTAAGTTACAGTCCCATTATGCATTCCAGGAGGAAATCTCTCATCTTACAAACAGTTTGAGTTTGGTAAATTTAAGGACCTATCAATTATCTATGTATCTATCATCTATCTATATTAAGGGCATACTGTTTCTTGCCATTTTTGAGGAGTCAAGAGATGAGATAAAAGGCACAGCAATAAATGATCACACACAATTCCATGATCTAAACTAAGCCCTCCTGTAAACACAGAGAATTATTTTTTCTTAATTTACAGATCAAGTAGCAAGGCTTCAGTGATTCTATAGTGTTTAACATGGCTAATTAGTGCATGTCAAGGGGTTTGACTTCGTGTCTGTGAGTCCCTAAATTCCACCCTCTTTCCAGGTGCATAAGCTGCATAAGTACTGGCAGATGTGTTGTAGTTTTCACACTTGCTGCACCTAGCAGCTTGCTACTAAATTTTTCAGTAGGGGCAATCCCACTCTGCACCTTGTATTTTGGATTAAAGTCTGCTGTAGCCTATGAAAGAGTCCATTTTATTTCATCTGCAATCTTACTGATAAGACTGTAGAGGATTCCTCAAGATCTATTTACTTTCCTTCTATCTGCCTCTCTCTGTCTCTCTGTCCCTGTCTGTTGCTCTCCTGTGAGGCAATGATTCTTAGCCTAGAAGGACAGACATTTTTTCTAAGCTATTTAAATCCTTAATTTTTGCTGGAAACTTTAAAAAAAAATTCAACACAGCATGACCACATACTGATAGTTAACTCTTACCCATAAAGACCTAAATGAATGGAGTTTTATGAGAGCTTATATTTCTCATTTTATTTCACTTTTAGGGGGAACATCATCAAGACAGAAAGGCTTCCTTGGATGCATCCGCTCCCTACTCTTGAATGGACAAAAACTGGACCTGGAGGAGAGAGCAAGAGTCACCTCTGGAGTCAGGCCAGGCTGCCCAGGGCACTGCAGCAGCTATGGCAGTAACTGCCACAACGGGGGCAAGTGTGTGGAGAAGCACAGAAGCTACTCATGTGACTGCACCCACTCTCCATATGAAGGGCCCTTTTGCCAAAAAGGTAGCTTGGCGCCATGTAGCTCCCAGGTCCAGCAATGTGGCACCTATAGGCTATATTCAGGCTCCTGTGCCCTTGGGCTTCATCACATGCTCTTACTTGGTTTCCTTTGTTTAGAAACAGCACAGCTGTTTGACACAAATACACATACAGTGCTTATTGGGCAGGTGTGTGTCCACTGGCAATGTGGCTGAAATGGATGCGAGTTATAGATCGACACACTGTCTGAGGTTAAGGAGCCAGGTGAGAATGAGTGGAGGTGGTCTCTCATGTCTCTTGTGTTAGGCAGAATATTAATGATGCTAATATTTCCTCAGTTATCATTCTTCAGTCTACAAATGTAATAAAAGAACCGTAGACTCTAGCCCTGAAGGAACCTTAGACACACAAGTCTCTAAATCATTTTTACAACAAAGAGACTTATAGTTCAATTAGTGAAAACAATATCATATATCTAGTAAAGTCTTTTCGTTAAGTGATTTGAGCAAACATCTTAGCCTTTAAAAGCACTGCTTAGGAGCTCATGCTGTGATTTTCTGGAATTGGACTGCAATTGTCAAAATTTCTTCCCTGGGGCTCTTTGGCACCTCTTCCCAATCCTGAGAGTTCATTACAACGGAGAAGGTAATCATGATGGTGTGCCCTTTGGAGCAGTAGTGATGCTCATGGTGTGACTGCTTGCTATAAACACTGAATTACTCAGTATTTTTCAAACATAAAAACAAAATATTTAGGCTATTGTCAACCTGTGCAGCATTTTATTTTATTGATGGAAAAATAGTTTGTTGAGCAAATAATGTAAACAATTTTTCAAGAGCAGTATTTCAACTATTAAAAGCAAAATATTTTCATTATTCTAAGACACCAATTATAAATAATTCTTGTCAATCTCTAAGATATATTTTCCAAGGACCTCTACTACACAATGCTTTATTTAGTCCAGCCTACTTTAGAATCCAAAAGACAAAAGGAATTTTTAAAAAGCATTTAATATTTTTCTTGAAAGACTCTATAATTTAAGCTCTTTAACTCATTCTTTTTGGCCTTCTCTCCAGTTACTGATTACTGTCAGGCAGTGTTTTATGCTCTTCCAAAAAACATTAATGTTACAAATTTTAGGATCAAAGCTGCATTGAAACATTCATGGGACCCTGAAATAAAACAGGTTCCATCCCAGTGATTTTTTCATGTGAGCTAAGACAAGAAATTATTACCACATTTTATACTAGGGAACATCTCTGGGTCTCAGACTGCCTTCCACTCCAAAGTTTGAGAGACATTCGTAGAGTGGTCTTGGGCTCTATAAAAAGCAAATACAGAATAAACACAGTCAGACCTAACCTTACTAAAATATACACACACTATTACTTCACCTGTCTCCAAGTCTTCCTTTGGGAAAATATGAACAGTAGATTTATCTGCATTTCTCCGGGGACATTATTCAAGCATCACATTTTTCTAAATTTAGCCTATTTCTTGTAGGCTTCTTTCTCACAGACAATTCCTATTGATTCTCTGCCTTCCATGCTGCTGAATCTATTGCTTGTGTATGTTGGAATATTCCCTATATTCTCTCCCACAATTTCATTTTCACCTGTAAGTTAAATACATGTATTCATGCTTAACTTTTCCTGTGCATTTTATATTTCACTATTTTCAATCCTACCCCCTCAATTTTTGAAGGGAATGGTTCACTGTGTTCAGTAATTGCACTGTAGGTAAGATGGGCCTTTTAAACAAATCTTTTGCCCCCATCAGTTGTCTCTGGAAGGCACAGTGTGGAACTGAAATGGGGAGCCAGCAGCTACAAGATGGTTCTCAAAAGACTGTTCTCTAATGGGGTGCTGTTCCATGCTTCTGAGCAAGGTGGCAAGTATTTTACGGAAATGATGAGCAATACTGGAAGTGACCCAGATTAAATTAGGAACATGTGTCCATTACAAGTGCCAGGATGAGAGCCACCATTGGCCCCTGTACTATTTCTTGTAATGGTACAAAAAATAAATACAAATTAGTTATTCACTACAATACACATTTTTAAAAAATTGATTTTGTTGGTACATTTTAGGTATACAATATAATGACATTCATCATTGGAGATTTGTAACTTTACGTGATATATCTTGATTCTTAATTTTCCCCATTCTCCTGCCTTCCCTTCACCCCCTCCACCCTTCCCTATTTACAAAGATTTTGTTTCCATTTTTTCATTTTCCCATGTTAATTCCTTTCCATTTCCTTTCCCCTACCTCTCCTACTTCCCCTTTCCATTTGCACCATTTCTTCCTATTTCACATTACCTATTATATATTTTGATCCTTATTTACACTTTCATTTTCTCACACCAGACAAACTATTTGGTATTCACACATGTGTGTCCTATTTATTACACTTAACAGTATGGTCTCAATGTGCATTCATTTAGCTATAAATGTCTCTAGTTTCTCATTTTGATGATTGAGTAGTACTCCATTTTATATTAAAAAAACCCACATCTTTATCCAGTCTCTAGTTGATGGTCAATTGGACTGTTTCCATGTTTTAGCTATTATAAATTCTGCTGCTATGAACATGGTGGATATATATAGTTGTGGCATGATTATTTAATTCTTTTGGGAAGATAACCAGCAGGTGAATAGCTGGGTCAAATGAGACCTCTTGTCCTAGCTCTTTGTAGTATCTCCATACTGATTTCCACAGTATTTGCACGAGCCTACACTCCCACCAACAATGTAGAAGGGTTCCTTTTTCCCCACAGTCCCACCAGCGTTTGTTATTGGTTGATTTCTTGATAGCAGCCATACTTTCTGGAGTGAGGTGGAATCTCAGCATTGTTTTCATCTGCATCTCTTGAATGACTTGTGATGTTGAACATTGTTTTGTATGATTATTTGCTATTTCTACTTCTTTCTTTGAGAAACGTCTGTTCATTTCAGATGCCCATTTTGGGATTGGATCTTGAAATTTGTGAGGTCTGACTTTTTAAAAGTTCTTTATATATTCTAGAAAGTAGTCCTGTCTGAGAAACAGCTGGTAAAAATTTTCTCCCACATTATTTGTTGTCTCTTCACTCTGTTGGTGGTTTCTCTTGCTGCGCAGAAGCTTTTTAATAAGAAGAGACCCCACTTGTTGATTGTTTGTGCTAGTTCACATGAGATTTTCTTCATTAAATTTTTTCCTATGCCAATGATTTCTACCTAACCTTTCTTCCAGCCAGTTTAGTGTTTCTGTTTTAATATTTAGGTCTTTAATCCACTTTGATTTTAGTTTAGTGCATGGTGAGAGCTATGGGTCTAGTTTTAATCTTTGGCAAGTTGAAACCCAATTTTTCAACACCATTTATTAAAGAGGCTACCTTTCTTCCAGTGTTTGGCTCCTTTGTCAAAGATGACGTGGCTGAGTGTGTCTGGAGTTGTTTCTGCAATTTCTACTGGTTCTCCAGTCAGTTTCTTTGCCAGTACCATGTTGTTTTTATCACAGTAGTTTGTGGAATAGTTTCAGGTTGGGGATTGTGATACCACCTACTTTGTCTTTGTTGCCTAGAATTGCTTTTGCTATTCTAGGTCTCATTTTGTTCTAAATGCATTTTTGGATTGTTTTCTCAAGGTCTGTGAAGTATGCTGCTGGAATTTCAGTTGGAATTGCATTGAATCTATATAGCAGTTTTGGAAGTATGGCCATTTTCAGTATATTGGTTCTTCCTACCCAGGAGCAAGGGATGTCTTTCCATTTTCTGATATCCTTTTTGATCTATTTTTTTCAGAGTGCTGTAGTTTTCAGAATAGAGGACTATGATTTCTCTTGTTAGGTAGACTCCTAGGTCTTTCATTTTTTTGGATGCTATTATGAAAGCAATGGTTTCTCCAGTTGTTCTTTCAGTGACTCTGTTGATTGTGTACAGAAAAGCTATTGATTTTTGTGTGTTGTTCTTGTATCCAGCTACTCCACTGAATTTGGTTATTAAGTCTAAAAGACTTTTGGTGGAGTTCTTGGGGTCTTCTATATAAAGTATCATGTCTTCTGCAAATAATGACAATTTGACTTCTTCATTTCCTATCTTTATTCCTTTTATTTCTTTCTCTTGTTTAGTTGCCGTGGCTAATGTTTCCAGATCTATATTGAACAGGAGTGGTGATAGTGGACATCCTTGTATTGTTCCTGATATTAGTGTGAAGGATTTCAGTTTTTGACCATTTAGTGTGATACTTGCTGTTGGTTTTTCATAGATGGCTTTTTATCAGATTGAGGTAGAGGCCATTTATTTCAATTTTTTGTAGGGTTATTATGAATGCGTGTTGGATTTTGTCAAATGCTTTTTCTGCATCTATGGAAATAATCATATGGTTTTTGTCCTTGGCTCTATTGATATAGTGTATTACATTCATTGATTTTCGTATATTGAACCATCCCTGCATCCCTGGGATGAATCCCACTTGATCAGGGTGTATGATCTTCTTGGTGATATTGTGCATTCTATTTGCCAGTATCTTATTAAGGATTTCTGCATTTACGTTTATTAGTGAGATTAGACTGTAGTTCTCTTTTTCGGTTGGGTCTTTCTCTGCTTTTGGGACCAAGGTGATGCTTGCTTTCAGGAATGAATTTTGGAGTGTTGCTTCCCTTTCAATTTCACTGAAGAGTTTAAACAGTAGTGGCAGCAGTTCCTCTCTAAATGTCTT